AGGGGGTGGAGGAAGGGGGTCTGGGACCTTTAGTGGGGGAGCTTTTTGGGGTCTTGGTGAACTGGGGAGGGGACTCTTGGGGGGATTCTCAGGGCTTCAGGAAGGGTCTCAAAGAGGGGGTGTCCTCGGGGCTGGGGGGGCAGATTCTGAGGCTCTTGGGGGTCTCCCGAAGGGCTCTCAGTGCTCTCGGGGCGTTCCTCACGATTTGGGGGGGGGGTCCCGCTGCCTGGGAGGACCCCGAGCCTCCCTCGGAGCCCCCTCCCCACTGCCCCCTCCTCCCGCAGGCGCTGCCGCTGCCGCCGGCGCCGCCCCCGCCCTGGCCGGGCTCCTTCCTGGAGGAGCTGCTGGAGATCCCCCTCCCCGCGCACTGGGGGGTGGTGGGGGGCGGCCCGGGGGGGGGCCGGGGGCTGCGGCTGGTGCAGCGCTGTCCCCGCTCGCCCATGGCCGCGGCCGCCGTGCTGCTCAACCCCGGGCTCGCCTTCCGCGTCCTGGTGGCCCGGGGGCGGCCGGTGCCCCCCGGGCACGAGGTGCTGGCCCGGAGACCCCCCCTGCGCTCCGTCCTCGACCTCGTGGAGCTGCTCTGCGACCTCGAGGCCTACGGGCCCTGCCCCGGCCCCCCCGGGGGCCCCCCCGGGCCCCGCTGCCACGTCCTGGTGAGGGGGGGTCGCTGCTGCCGGCCCTGCCTGGCCACGGGGGGGGACTGAGGGGGGATTGGGGAGGGGGGACCAAAGGGAGGGAGAGGATTTGGGGGGAGGGGGGATTGGGGGGGGGAGGAATCCGGGGACTAAAAATTGGGAAGGTGGATCTCTGGGGGAGGGGCAAAGTGGGCACAGAGTTGGGGGAGGCAAATGGGAAAGGAACCGAAATTGGGGGAGGTGGAAGTGACAGAGGAAGGAATTGGAATTGGGGTGAAGGGAATGGGGGAGGGGTGAAATTTGGAGGGGGAAGAAAACAAGGGAGCTGAAAGTGGGGGGAGCAAAGGTTGAGGGATGTGGGGGCAGGGGGGAGGATTTGGGTGTTGCACCTTTGGGATGGGGAGTGCATTTGGGGATGGACCTGGAGGGAGTGTGGTAGGGGCACTGGGGGTCCCCGGGGGGGTCTGAGGTTAAACCCGCATCCCCTCTGTGGGATCCAGGACCCTCCTGTGGGGGTCAGGGGGACTCCAAAGGGGTGACACCCCCATTTTGGGGACCTCCCCCAGTGACACCCCAAGGCTGAGGGACCCCAGAAGTGGCATTTTTGGGTGGCACCACCCCACGTTTGGGAGGGGGGCCCAGTTCGGTACCGCCCCTCGGTACCACCCCTCCTTTGGTTTCCCAGGGATTTTGGGGTGCCCCCAGCACCCGTTTTTTGGGGGTTACCCCCACCACCCCAGTTTGGGGACATCAGGTTTAGGGGGCCCCAGAAGTTCTTTTGTTGCCCCAGTTCCCCCCAGTGCCAAACTGGGGCCCCTCTCCCACCCCCAGAGTTTCTATTTTTGACACTGGAACCGCCCCCCCGGAATTGGGGGCGCGGCCCCTTTAAGACCCCACCCCGTAGAGGTTTAAGGTGGACCCCGCCTGTTGCGCGGCCCCTTTAAGGTGGGGGCGTGGTTCAGTTAAGCCCCGCCCCTCGGGTTAGGCCCCGCCTACGCGTGTCTTCCGCCTGCTGTGACCCTGCAGGCCACGCCCCGTTCTATTGAGGGGGGGCGTGGTCTGTACCCCTTGGCCCCGCCCCCGCGCTGCTTTCAGGGATTCGCGCCGAAGCCATAACCCCGCCCCCTCCTTGTCCCCGCCCCCTCAGCAGAATTTAAGAGACCGCGATGAATTATTTTTGTTAAAAGTAATAAAAGATTTAAGGAGAACAGACGGAGGTTTGGGGGTCGTCGAGGGGTCAGCCTGGATGTGGGGGAGGGGCCGCGGGGTCTCAGCCCCCCCCTCCCCCAAACACCTTCTGCAGCAGCCGCCGGGGGGGCGCGGCCGGGGGGGGCCGAGCTTTGCGCCCCCAAATCTCCTCCTCGGTGGGTCTCTGGGTGAAGCCCCAGGGCCGGGGGGGGTTCGTGGAGCCCTTGGAGTCCTCGGAGGGGTCCCGGGGGGGGGCCCGGCGGGCGTAAAACCCCCCCTCGCGCTTGGCCTGGGCCACTTCGGCCCGGAGCCGCTGGGCCCGGACCTGGCGCTCGTAACTCAGGCGCTCGCTCAGGTGGGGCCAGCGGAACCCGGGCAGGTACTGCGGGGGGGAGGCAATTTATCACCCCAAATACCTCCAAAACACCCCCAGATACGCCCCCCAAAACACCCCCAAACCTGGGCAGGTACTGCGGGGGGAGGGGGCACAGTTAAACACCCCAAATACTCCAAACCCACCCTTAAATACCCCAAAACCACCCCCCAAAACATCCCTAAATACTCCTGAACCTCGGCAGGGACTGGGAGGTAAAGGAGGAGTCAGGGGACCCCCATTCAAACCCTCTCTACCTCCCCCATAAGGTTTTGGGGTGCCCCCCCCCCCCGTTCACCCGGGTGTCCAGGAAGGGTCCCCCAAAACACCCACCCTGGGAGGGACCCAAATCCCCTCCCCCGCCCCCCTCCCGTGGTTTTGAGGTGCCCCCCCCTCTCCATCCCCCCCCCAGCCCCCCCATTGCCCACCTTGAGGCTCCAGCGCTGCTCTCGGAAGGGGCTGCGGGGCCGGGCGCTCATGGGGGTCCCGTGCAGGAGTTTGGCCGCTCGTTTGGCCGCTCGTTTGTCCCGAAACTCCACCCAACCCTCGGCAAAGGACCCCCCCGAGGGCCCTCCCGGGCGCTGCCGCCGCCGCCGAACGGACCCTCCTGCGGGTGGGGAAGACGGGGGGGGGTCAGAGCACACGGGGGGGGGGAGAGACCCCAATCCAGGGGGGCTGAGAGCCCCCCGCCCCCATTTCTGTACCTCCAGGGGGTCGATGGGGCCCCCTGACCTCCCCAGGGACACCCTGAGTCCCCCCAGGACCCCCCTGGACTCACCCTTGGGCTGCAGGAAGACCCTCCCCAGCTCCCCGTGCGGCCGCAGCAGCGCCCGCGCCTGGCGGGGCCCGAACCCCGGGGGGAGGAAGGACAAGTAAAGGACCCCCGGGACCACCGGCTTGGGGGGCGGCCCGGGGGGCGCCTCGGCCGCGGGGGGGGAGCCCTCGGGACTCTCCTCCTTTGCTTCTTCCTCCTCCTCCTCCTGCTCTTCCTCCTCTTCCTCCTGCTCTTCCTCCTCCTCCTCCTGCTCTTCCTCCTCCTCTTCTTCTTCCTCCTCTTCTTCTTCTTCCTCCTCCTGCTCTTCCTCCTCCTCGGCCGCCCCTCGCCGGTCCCGCTCTGCCCCGGCCATGGCCCCTGGGAGAGGCAGGAGGGGATTAAAGGTGGGGAAGAACCCCCAAAACACCCCCAGGGCCCCCCAAAATCCCCCTCAGAGCCCCTTCCTTTCCTGCCCTCCCCCCGGGTCCGCCGCACCCCCAAACCCTCTTCAGGGACACGAAACTCCCCCCCAAAGACCCCCCGGGACCCCCCAACAACCCCCCGGGACTCCCGTTCCCTCACCCCGACGGTCGTAAAACTTCAGCGCGGCCGTAAAGGGAGCGGGGGAGTCGCGAAAAGGCCGGAAAGCGCGGGGGGGGGCGGGGCCTGTTCGGGGGCGGGGTTTGTCGGTGCGGAGGTGTGGTTATTGCCGGGGGCGTGGTCCTGGTGGGGGCGTGGTCTGCCGCCGGGGGGCGTGGCACGGCCGGCGCGGGAAGCGCTGAGGCGGCGTTTTGGCGGGAACGGCCCCGCCCGGCCCGAGACCCCCCGGGACCCCCCCGGTGGCCCCCCCGTAGCCCTCTGGGACCCAACGGGACCCCTCGGCACCCCCAGAGCTCCCCGGGACCCACCGACCCCCCAGTGCCCCCTCAGGCCCCCCAAAAACGTCCCGAAAGCCCCCCAGTGTCCCACTCAGTGCCCTCAATGCCCCCC